CCCCAAAACCCCAAAACCCCAAAACCCCAATATTTCATGAAAAAATTGAAAATTATTAAACATTATGAAGTCCTTGTTTGACAATAAATCAAAAATCTCCACTTTCTTAGAACGAATGAAGGAAAGTAAGAGTGAAGAGTAAGTAGATAGGGCAAATCCGAGAAAGTTTCTTCCATTCCTCCTTTTTCTTTCCTTAATTTCTCTCCTCAACAAATTCAGAATGTCAATCCTTCAACTTTCATAGGAGGAAAATTAGAGCTGGCCTGCCTAATTCTGAAGCAATATCTCTCATTCAAGACGAGAGCAAACAAGTGGCATCTCCCAAAACCGAGGAAGACCCAAACTCCAATTCAATCAATGAAAATTTTGCAAAACTGGAGCCAGTTTTCACTCTCATAAAAGAAATGAAAGAGGAAAGAGAAACGAGTTTGACAGATTTCCTCATAAATCTACTCCAAGTAAAAGTCCATAACTTTGAAAATAAAGTGAATAACAGGATATAAACAACCTCATTGACACGCTGGCTTACAAGCATGAACTCAAAGCTGTAGAAGACAAGGTCTTCTTGCTAAGAACCAGAGTTGAGGCTGTTGATTTTATCCAAAAAGACAATGACAAAATCCATAAGGAAACCAGAGACGGCTTAAAATAAGAAGACTGACTTCTCTGACCACCTCAAGAACAGAAGTTGGCTCAAAAGTCATGACAAAGAGCTTCAGCGGCTAGAAGCTAAGATCAATTCCTTCGTTATGCGTAAAGATATTGACTTGATAAACGAGTTTAATGACAAACAGGTAGTTTTTGAATGCTTTATTCCTTCGTAGGCTCAAAAACTTGACAATCTCTCAAAAGAAGTTCATCTTGAATACTGCAAAACAGGCACAATGACCGAGAAAGTGGCTAATTTGGACAAGTTTTTGAGGAATAATTACCTTACCAAAACAGTGGTTCACAATAGATTTACAAAAACAGAAACAGCTCAGACTAAAACAAATTTTGAAATAGTTAAAGTCAAGGAAAATGCTGATAAAATTCACAGAAATCTTAAAGACCTTAGCGTAGGATTTTGAGTAATTCATAGAACATTACAGCAAGGAAGGCAGACATCACCAAGATTCTTAAAGACATGGAAGATCTATGACATTATAGCGATTTCGATGCTCTTAGAGGCAATGTGCTTCCTGCTCTCAAAGGCTTTGGAGAAACTGTAAAAACATTAGAAAACGATGTCAAAACCTACAGCCAAATAATGAACAGATTCGACGAAGTTATTTGCTCCAAAGCATCCAAGATCTCCCTTTCCAACCTAGAAAATGATATGCAAAACTACGTACATGGAGAAAAATACAAGAGAGATCAAGATTTCTCCCAAGATGTGTTTAACAGAATTTACGAAAAGATAGACGACTGTTACAAATTCATTTCCAAAACGGCACAAACTTCAGAAGATAACATAAATACTCTATTCAATAAAGGGATGGATGAAATGAAATAAAGAGTTTATGTCCTACCATTCACCTGAGAACTTAGTTGATTATGGAACTTTCAACTCAGCTCTAGATACAAAGGTAGAAAAATCAGATCTTGATAAGCTTCTTGAAGGAAAGAGCGATATCAATCAGATGGACACCAATACAATAGCTTTGCAGGTCCTTCATAAACAGCTTAAAAATATCGGCATCCTTGTCTTTGAAATCCTCAGAAAAGAATTCATGAAATTTGAGGAGAGTAAATAAAATCAAAAATTGAGCTAAAAGAGAAGCAAAGGAAATTCTAGAGCAAGCTTCTAACATCACCAAGTGGATTAATTGATTTAACCCTCAAAATGTTAACAAGGAAGATTTCATAATTCCTAATGAAACCAAAGATATACAATTCATTAACTGTACTTTTGGCCTGTAAAACTATAGTTATTGACTTCAAACCTAAAATGAGACTGAGAAATAAACTAAGAGGCTCTGGCCTCGGCTTTGAGAGATCAAGCAGGACCACAATGGCAAAAGAGTACGTTTTGAACCTCTCAAATACAGATTTAGGCACAAAAACCGTAGCGTCTCTCCTGATACTATGAAAATTTAACCAAAGCGCAAATTCAAAAATGAAAGAAAAGTTTAAATGGTCGAAAATTGTGAGAACCAGAAGAAAATTACACAGAAATGAACTCTCTACTAGCCATCTTAACAAAGAAACAACTCAGGAGAATGTTGGGAGTGCATATATCTTGATTAACGAGCCATCTAGGACACCTGGGAACAACTCCCAGTATAGAGCAAAGACAAGCTACAACTCATCAGCAATGCATAATACCCTTTTCAACCTCTAAAACTTCAAAAGGGGTTTTGGGGTTTTGGGGTTTTGGGG